AGCACGTGAGGTCTGCTCCACACTCGACGGGGGCTCCAAGAGAGCCCGTGGGGGACGCTGCCTTTGAAGTCCCAGGCACTGACTGTCTGTTGGGAAGGAGGGCAAGAAGTCCTCCGCGCCGGGGCTGTCCCGCTGCGCCCCTTCAGCCGCCCCCTCGCCCTTCTGCTCTTTCCTCGACCTCCGCAGCACCGGTCGCGGGTGGGGAGGAAAGGGGGGGGGGAAGCCTCCTTTAAACGCAAAGCGTCCGCGTAACGCTGCTCCGCGCGACTCCCACTCCGCTTGGAGAACCCTTTTAAAGCCCTCGGCCGCGGAAAGGCGGAGACACGCCGAGGCCATTCAGCTGCGGAGGGAAGCCGCTGCCGCCCCCCACCCCAGCCCACGCCGCCGCCTCCCCGGGTACGCAACCCACCCTGCGGATCGGGGCGGGCCTCCATCTCCGGGCATGGAAGCTGCGGCGGAGGAGACACCCCGCGCAACCCCGGGAGAGGATCAGCGCCGCAGCCATGACTGACCCCCGCTCTGGCGCGCAGGCGGCAGGATTACGACTCAGGCCCGGGGAGGGGGAGCCGGATAGGGAAGGATGAGCGGAGCGCAAATCCCTCGGGGCTCCTCCTTGCCGTCTGCCCATCCGCGGGAGGGGGAGGAGAGCGGAGCCCGGCAAACTTTGCCAACTTGGCAATCCCTCCCGCTCCCCGCATTGCCAACATCCCCGGGGGACCGCGGACAACGACTCACCCCGAACAGTACAGCCCCGTCACGCCCCTGCCTAGACGGAAAGAAGGCAACGAGCAAAAGTAACCGGTTTTGCAAGCTTAAAAAAAAAATAGCCCTGTGAGCCCGCCCCTTTGGGACGCCGCGCGGACCAATCAGCGTCCGTTACGCGTCTCGGTCGCGCACCATTGGGCACCAAACAGGAAAGATCGCGAGCCCCAAAGGGAAGGGGGCGTGGCTAAACGATGACACGTTGGAAAGGATGAGCCAGATAACGAAGGAACCGTCATTGTCCTTTGGAAGGTCTTGTGACTTCTGTAATAGAAACTGGGGGATGCATTCATCCGCTAACAGGGTCGAGCGTTTTGCTTAAACGGAGGGACAAGAAGGATGCAGCATAATCTTTGTTCCAGGGGAAAAGGAAAGCAAGCAGGGCGCGATGGGTCACCTCCACTGTCCATTGGGTCCACTGACAAATCGTTATGCTATTTTTATTTTAAAGCCTGTGAAACCACGCTGCTGCTTAATAAATCTGGGGGGAAGGCTTGTTTACTTTTGTTTGGCTGTTACCAATATTATAAATTTTGATGTATGTTATCTGTCTTTGCTGCTTCATTTGGCCTGGTCAAGGCTGTAATAGCTGAAACAGAATAGGCTAAAGTAGCTATTAGATACACTGCTGTGCAGAAAACTACACTACACTAAACTTCATTGTTTGAGAAACGGGGGGGGGACAATATTTAGGAAATGATCTTGGGTTAGTATAGCATTTTATTAAATCTTTCCCAACTATAACTCATTTTTTACAACAACAAGCTCAAGTGCCAGGTTGTAAGGTACTCAAGGCAACCAAATTTAGTTGCCCCAAATGACTAAATAGGACTAATATACTGAGCCACAAACCTTATAATTGGTTCATCCCTGCTTTGAACAACAAACAGTTTTGTGGAATAGCAACTCAGTTCTGAGGCAGCCCAGTCAACAACATTCAGCGCTTCATAGTTGGCAAGGATGTTCTGAGCCATAAAACCTGTGTGTAGGTTCCCATTCTACATAGCAAACTCTATTTCTGGGGAAAAAATCCTTGAACACTCACTTTGAAGCTATCCATACCAGCCAAGTTCACATAGTAGTAGTTTTTTCTGTTTTGTCTCGCATTCTGTTACTGACCCTCTTGTTGTTTTTTAATTGCACATTTTATATAAATGTACTGTTTTCAAAGTAGATTTTAGTGTCCTTTTACTTGTTGTTCACTGCCTTGAGGGCCCTAATTAAGTGGAAAGGTATTACTATGTAAGTTATTTATTTATTATTTTCAATTTATATCCCGCCTTGCTGGGGAACTGGCTCAAGGTGGCGTACGAGCATTAAAATACAATAAAACAGTAAATACAATAAAATACAATAAATTACACATAAATAACCTATATAACATCATAAAGTGCTAATAAGAGTTGTGCAAATAATGTGCTGATCTTCCTTGGAAAGCTCGGATAGGCTACATAAGACTTCCGAAGGCCACTTGTCAAGACATGGGTGAAGCTGCCGCCATGTACTTCATTTCAGATGTTATCAGTCAATGAAATGACAGTGCAGACCTGTAGGGGGAGAGGAAGCTTTCAGGAAGCCAACCAGCTCTTAGGCACCAGCATATTAGACTCCAAGAGAGGCAGGCATAGTGTCCTGTTGCTGTCAAGCCATGGCTGGGTGTCAGCAAGGCAAAACCGCAGGCCCCTGTCAGAGCACTGCCAGCTCAACCTCTCTGCTGGTGGGGAAATGGGCAGACCTGCAGGAGTGCAGTGGAAAAAGCAAAACACGCACACTCACAAGCCCTGGCACAAGCACAGGATGCTGAGTGCAGAAGATGCAGCCAGTCACACACCTCCCTGGTGATGGCCAAAGCCCTACCCCTGCACCCAGTCACAGCTTCCCTTCCCCTGGTACCTAATACACCCGGACCAGGATGCCCCATAGCTCAGATGACAGGGCATGCAGCACAGAATCCTGTCTCTGAGTTCCCTGGCAAGAACACTTTGAGTGCAAAGTGTTTCACCCGGCTGGTGGGAAATGCACAGAAAGGACACCTAGCATCACAGAGGACACTTAGCATCCCTTAGCCAAAGGAGAGAGCAAATCTTCCTGTGTGACTCACTTTTTAAAAGTGAATTTTATTGAAACAGCAATAATCGAAATACAAACTTAAACATGTGCAAGCAGATAGTTACATGATGCATAATATAACAAAATTATTCAAGAATCTTTATGCCTCTTGAACTATGAAGACTTTATAATCAGCCAAGAATACAAAATGTTCTTATATATCCAAAAACTCTTTTGTTGTTGTTCAGTTGCACAGTCAAGTCCGACTCTTCGCAACCCCATGGACCAGATCACGCCAGGCCTTCCGGTCTTCAGCTGTCCTCTGAAGTTTGCTCAACTTCATGTTCGTTGCATCTATGACACTGTCTAACCATCTCATCCTTTGCCATCCCCGTCTTCTTTGACCTTCAATCTTTCCCAGCATCCCAAAACTCTACCAATAAGTATAACTACCAATCCCTTAGCGAACTTGTCTCATGTCAGAACCCACACAGGTATCCCATCTCCAGAAATGCAAACCGAAGGAGCAACCATGCACCAACAGGTGAACACAGTCAGGAGTCCAGCTGGCTTGGCACAGGGGTCTTGCATTCATCCTGGGGACCACCTCAACAATGCAGGCTCCTACAGCCAAGGCTATTTGCAAGTGTGTATGGGGGAACACAAGTCAGCTGTACCCAGCAGTATGCTCCAGGTCATGCCATGAGGTATAGTCCCAGGAAAGTGTACCGAGGAGTGCCAGCTGTGATGCTGGATAGGGAATGGGGCACAACAGGAGTTTGGGGAGTAACTGGCATCTGCCCCACTGTGCTCTGTGGAACTGCTTGCCAAGCAACCATGGCACCTATTGCTTTGCTGGATCAGAGCCCTATGAAACAGCAGAAGCAGATGGAATGCATATGGTTGAAGTGCAACCCATACAATGAATGGCTAAGTGTCATTAGGATGGCTGTGGTGTACGGGGGGATGACACCCTCCATGGGGGAACCACAGACCCTTTTCTCCCCCCCCCCAGCATGCCTGCAGTTGTATGCCAGCATACAACCCAACTATGCTTTCCTTTTTGCCATGGCGACTTGTGAACTGCAGGCAAGTCAACAAGTTGTTGGATGTATGCAGTTCTACATGAGTGAGTTAGTCCTGCTTGCCTGGTATCCCACTTGAATTGGGCCAGAAACAAAACATTCCTGACTACAGTGGGCGTACCCAGGCAGCAGTTGCCCAGGTTCCTGTATTGCAAAATCAAGGCATGGGAAGTGTTTTGTGGTAAGGCACCAGTTTCTTCACAAATATGCCAGCAAGCCAGTCTTGCAAACTATATCAACTTGTGTCAAGCCTACAGGTTTTTTGGTCACATAGGTGGTAGTAGCATGTGTGCCTATTGCTGTGATCTGAAAAATGACATCGTGTCATGGGTCAACCAGAACCTCAGCCAGAACCTCACAACAGCAGAGACTCCTTGGGAGAAGAGGACTCCTCAGGAGGAGAGCTTCAGAGTATCAGCTCTGAGGCAGCAGAGTTCAAACAACAGGGCTGTCAGAACTCACAGCTGACAGCTGGGGCAAAACCACCTCCCCTAGGCCTTCTACAACAAAGGAGGCTCAGGTGCTCAGTATCAGTCCTCTGGCTTCACCCCCACCCTTGGAACGCAGGAGGCTAAGACTTAGAGCAGAGTTTCAGGAGAGAAGGTGGAGTGCAAATCTCCTGGTCTGATGCCAGTTACTGGCTGAAGATGAGTAGTTGCAGGGTTATGTTTGAGCAGCTGGCTGCAATAGGGCTTGTTCTGCAAATAGATATAAAAGGCCAGTCAGGGTAGCGTCCTGTGTGGAAACAGCAAGTTAGTCTGGTAGAGGTTGTGACTACAGTGTCTGCATGTGTGGCCTTGGATTGGCTTTTGAATTCTGACCTTCAGTTTGTGATTTGGACTTTGGCTTTGACTCTGCAAACCTAACTCATGTGTGACATCTGGATTCCCTGACCCTGTTCCTTGGGTCATCCTCTCTGGTAACAATTCTCTGGTATGAACTTTTGGCTTGTTGATGTCTTGGACTGAATTCTAGACTTTGTTTGAAACCCTGGCATGTGCCTTGCTTATGTGTGTGATCCAGTACATGATACATAGTAGGACCCTAGTTTCTGTGAGTTAAGCACAGCAGTAAAGACCATGGTCCCTAATTTATCTAAGTCACTCTGGAAATAGTTTCATATAGAGCAACTCTGTTGCCTATGTGTAAAAGCTGTCTTTAATAATTCAGTTTTGCATAGTTTGTGGAAAGACCGGAGAATGAGAGCCTTCCTGATCTCGTCAGGTCAGCCATTCTATAAGGTGGGGGGCCACAGTGGAGAAGGCATGTGTACAGGTAGTTGTTGATTGTGCCCCTTTGCAGGTTGGGACATGCAGGAGGCCCTGCTCAGATCAGTGAGGCTGTTGTGGTACAGCAGAGGGGGAGAGGTGGTCTCCTAGATATGAGAATCCAAAGCCATAAAGGGCTTTTTCATGTCATAGTTAACACCTTAAATTGAGCCCAGGAACTGATGGACAGCCTATAGAGTGACTGCAGAAAAGGAATCCTGTGTGTGCTCTCTCTAGTTCCAGAGAGTAGCCCAGCCATGGCATTCTGCACCACCTGGAGTTTCTGAACTGATTTGGAAGGGAGACCCATGTCCAGGGCATCACAGGAGACTAGTCTTGAACTTACTGTGGCCTGGATCCAGGCGGCCACATCAGCTGTCTCAAGGTTAGGGGACATCTTTCGGGCTAGGCTGAGTCAGGAGGAAGCCTTTTTCTTTCTTGCAGTGGTTCTGTCTGATGTTTTCGATCACTGGCTGCTCATTCGTGCCTCAAGTCATCACATCAACCTGCATGTTTTTAACGCAAAGAGAACTTCCATGA